AACTTATAAATACTTTGTTCTTTTAAATACTGTCACAGGTACAACAAATTGTGGGATATCATTAGAAAACTGCTCCTTTTACATAGTCAAGCAGCTGTAAAACATAGTTTCTCCATTAGCAAGGCAGGGTGTATTGTAAATAATTACATTAACCATGTTGGAGGTTTGAAAGTAGTAGTTATTACTAAAGAAATGTTAGATTCTGTGCTAAGATTTCTGCTGCTTAAATTATGGTTCTTACATGATACAAGTCTTATAACTTTTTATAAATAAATTTATTTATATGTTTCCTGATCGAGGAAAAGTTGGGGAATTTTGTTCTGCATCACAGGTGGGAACCATCTAAATACCGTAAATAAAGTATCCTAGTAATGTATTTTTCTTCAGTAGCTTTCACATGGATGTTGTTCCAGAAGTTCACATATAAAGAACATTATATCATTACTGTACATGTTCCTTAGATTGTACAAAATAGTTCTTGGCTTCTTTGCAGGATTATTGTAATGCTCACTTAATTATCATAACTTATGTATAACCAATGATTTTTTTATCAATTTTATTTCAGTTGTTTGTTGTTGTTGAACACATTTTGGAAATTGTAACATTATGTTTTGTGTTTGGGATTATCTTGACAAGTATGTATGTGTATCATTTTAGTTTTGATCAAATAGGAAATTTATCTATACAGCAAACTTTGATGTTTTCAGTTAATTTAATTTTTAAATATAATAGTATATACATATTAGAGTGGTCCTTATTTTTTAGTTTTGATTGACATAACTCTCACCCCTTCATTTTGTTTCAATATATATAAATCAGAACCCCTCGACGTGCATTCCTGTACGTGGTGAGGGGACCTCCCAGGGAAGGTTCTGTATTTTCAGTTACTACCTTTGGGATCTAAACATCCACCCACGTGCGTGGCGACCCGTGAAGGGGAGGATCCTGGTGGTTTAGTGGTGTCTGGGGCACTGCAACACACCACTTTGGCCTTGAATTCCTATAGACGGGTGGCCCCCAGGGTCAATCGGCTGGTCCACTCAGGCTAGGGTCAACTGAGTACCAGTGTTGGGTGTTCTCAACAGGTGTTGTGGACATTGTGTCTGATGCTGGTGTTTGGGTATAGTGCTCACGAAAACCCTGGCATTGTTGCAGTGTCCTTGTTTGACATTGTAGTGCATCCCCTCCTAGGACTCCATGGCGGGTGGGGTCAGTGGGCACTGAATCTTTCTCTTTTATTATGGATCCCCCAAATCCACATTAAAAAAAGGAAAAACTCTGCTAATTGGTAAATGACCATGCCTAGAAGACTGAACAGCAGTCTCCACCACAATGTAGCCTTGTACCTCGCTTCCTGATCCTGCAATTGCTGTCTAATAAATTTTTAGGGCAAATGTCTCCCTTTTTTATTCAGAAGGGATAAGAGGGGCTTGCTGGCTCTCCAAAGTCAGGCAAGAAGCTACGATCTGGGGATATGTTGATGGAAACATCAACACCAAAACACAGTGAACTCCTCCTGAATTCAAAGACCATTGGGG